CTCCTCTCGTGTGCACGAGCAGCTGGATACGAACATATTTACGCAGCTCATTTACACACTTTTCCTGAAGGTAGAAGAGTTTGTTGAATCTGACGTGGCATGTTCGTATGAACCCTTTGTACGAACAAAAGTAAGAGAAATTTAGGATAAGAATACGAACATGTTCTTGCATGAGGCCCATTGTACTTGTTCCTCTGCATGAATGCCTTAGTAGATTTTGAGCAGTGTTTAGGGTGGTTGTCTTGTTGGAAGATGCAGCCCCAGCGCAGCTTCAGCTTTGTCACTGATTCCTGGACATTGGTCTCCAGAATCTGCTGATATTGGTTGGAATCCATGCGTCCTTCAACTTTAACAAGAGTCCCAATCTCTGTACTGGCCACACAGCCCCACAGCATGATGGAACCACCCCCGCATTTTACTGTAGGTAGCAGGTGTTTTTCTTGGAGTGCTGTGTTCTTTTTCCTCCATGCATAATGGCCCTTGTTCTGCCCAAATAACTTTTTTGTCAGTTTTTACATTGTAGACATTAGTCCATTTCTCCTTTACTCTATGGCAGTAAAATGCTATTTTTAACTAGCCATAACCAGACTGTTGCAGAGCCCATTAAGTTGAATAATGAGAAAATGTCAAACCTGAAGTTGTGGTGCAGCTCCAGGTTTGGAGAGGAGGAAACTCCTTGACTCATGGTCCCAATAACATAAGGGCTGAAGAGAGAGAAAATCACATTTAATTACTCAGACAACAGGAAGTGCCACTGACATAAAGTCTCACTAAGAAACAGATTTTTTGGACCATTAAGGTCCTTGTTCACAACCTGTCCTTCTGAGGCATTTCCATTTAAAGGAGAGGAGCGCCGACTCACCATTTGTGGTACTTGCAGTTGAGGAAGCCGTTGAAAATGTCACTGAGAGAGCCGATGTGGTGCAGGTTGTCCATGATGACCACAGTGGGGAGCTCCGAGTCCATCCTCTCAGAGTTACAATGCTCTGCCAGGGTGGACAGGTACTGCCGCAGATCCTGTGGAAAGAAGCAGTTCACAAACGACACATTTTAAGCGAAAATAAAGTATTTAGTCAAATATAAATTCACCTGTTTGTTGTATCATTTCTTGCCATTAAACTTTATAAATATTAATTTAGACATTTTCAGTGGTGGGCACTGGGCACAGTTCTGCTCATCCGATAACACGCTAATAGCAGAATTAATATTTTGAAGAGCAGTTTAGCTCACACATGGCAGACTGATCATTATTATGTTATATATTAGCAGTTTAGCTTTAGCGTCTGCAAATTTACTGTCAATTTAGCTTTTTATCATTAGCTGAACTAAGAAATCTGTGTATAGATTAGAATAGTTTGGTTAGATGTGCCCACCACTTTAATAAACAAAGCAAAAAGAACGAAAAGTTCCATTACACAGATGGTTAATTATTGATACTGCAGTACAGGAAGCCTTACCTTGCTGGAGTTCTGGTCCACATTGAAGCGGGCCACACTGTGCTCAGTCACCTCCTGTCCAATCTGAGAAATGATGTACTCGGCCAGCTTTGCYGCCAGGAAAGATTTTCCTGTGCCGCTGGGTCCTGAGAAGATGATCCGACGATGCTCCATCAACAGGTTGAGGTACCTCTGGATTATGGGCTTTGGGATGAGTGTGTCAAACACAAGGCTGTCGATGCTGTTCTCCTTCACACCTATACACAGAGAAATGGTCCATAACTAGCTGCTGGATTTATATGGTGTGTCAGAAAAGTAACAAAACTCTGTATGAGCTACAAATGAGTGAGGTAGGGATTACACCATTTGTGTTCCATGTGATGGAGTATCTACAGTATCTACATCATTATGTAGCCATTGTATGTCTTTTTTCATGTTTTTGTTAACATCTCTTTAACTTTAGGTCACATATGCATCAAACTCAAGGCCCATGGGCCAAATGTTGCCAGCCACAGCATTTTAGTTGGCCCACAAGAGCTTCAAAGATGTATTAATGTCTTAAAAGTGTGTCTTGCTTTCAAGCCAGCATTGACAGTAAACTACAAACTGTAGCCTATAATGCATGTTGAAACTCCATTTCTCTGCATTTTTGCTACTTTTGCTGTGGCCCATTTGTACTGGGAAGTGGGAATTTCCCAATTACAAGCRGTAAAATGTAAACTGGAACACCCCTCCAGTGGAAATTCCCTGTTAGAAAGTGGGAGAGTTCAGAATTCAAGACGGCATCTACTCACTACAGCTCAGCAGTGAGTAAAACCATCCAAAATATCACACAGAGCTCAAACATAGCAATGAGAAGAGGAACGGGACATTTTATGTTTATTTAAAGTTAAACYTGAAATGTCAAAGTTAATTACAGCTGGTTCTTTGAGGACCACCATTATGCTCTTATGGTCCTTGGTGAAAATGAGTTTGACACCCCTGCTTTAGTTTTTCAAGGGATGGACACGGAGCATTGAGCCAACTTGAGGTTTATGGTCCTGCACCATCAGAAACACTTGGACTGATGTTTCAAGAGAGACAAAAGGGAACCACCACTCCAATCTACCAATCAAGGGGAACTGCCCCTGATGTCCATGTAATGTTGCAAAGGAATGTCAACCAAGACATCGCAGCAACAAATAGAGCCTTGAAGACCTCATGGTYGGTGTTTTCCACCCATGGAGCCAAGTTGGCACAGAGCTTTATAACTATGTACCTTGACAACCGTAGCCCCAGTTATGGACATTTAATTGTAATTACTTACATTGTGGTAGCCCTCTACTACTTAGATGTTGCACTGGTGTTGGTTCTGGGGGCTATCAGAACTGCTTTAGTTCTGCTTTAGTGATGTTGGAAAAATATGCATTGTTCAAAATGGTATGTCCAAATAAACAGGATTCAGCTGGATTTCTTGTTAAAACTTTATTTTTCATCTTCTGACTCCAATCAGGTTCATTCAGTGCTCAGCAGCGCAGGCCTCAGCGTACAACCTTGGGCTGAATCAAAACAAACACGGGAGCTCATGCTCTGAGCAGACACTCTGCAAAACACTGACAACTTCTTTCTACTATAATAATGAATTGACCTTACAATGTTCATCCCTTCCTGGTTACACCCTAGAGGTGTTACCTTTTACATCAGACATCAGAGCGTCACTCAGTTTTGTTTAGGCTAAGAGAAAGAACACATGGTAACACACACACCAACTCTTATTCTGTTATGACCTTAAAGCTGAAATGATCAGAAAGTATAAAATACAAAAGTGAATCTAATATTCAATTAATCAGTTACAAAATTTCTTCAGTGAGATCATTTGACAATTAAATTGCCCATAGGTCAGTCTTATTTAACTAAATATTTGGCTTCTGAAGCTAAAAGTTGAGGCTTCAAAGCAAAAAGCGAGAAAATGTTTTTATGAATTATAGAAAACAAATTTCATCCTATTTAACTGTGTCCTTTAGTTGAAAATCCATCGAAATTCTAGGTTGTAAGGTATTAAAAAATTGCTGCTCAATGTCTGTTCAATCATAGCACAAAATGTTTCACTTTGACATGCAGACCCTCTGAAACATCTTTTTTTCAGACCCATAGTGTATTTTTTCTAAGAAAAAAAAAAAGATTATATTTCATGTATCCTGAAGTCCCACCTTTAAGATGAACCTTGATAATGTTGTCGCCCACCAGGTAGCCGCAGGGCAACAGCTCAGGCACTTCAGAGGTGTGGGAACGAATCACATCCCCCATCCTGTAGCAGACGATGCTGTCTGAGTTCAGGCCCAGGCTGGTTCCAGGATCCACTCGAAACACATACTCCTGCAGGGAGGGGGAACATTGGAACATGGGCAGTCAAACTACAGACTCAGAGACTTCTAGGAGTGTGTAGTAGAAGAGGTTAAGGAAGGTTTTAGATTTTTTTTTCAGATTTGGCTTTTAAATTTTGAGATCACAAGCAGAAAAGATGGCCTATTGGACTCGTTTTGTAGACATAAATGGTGTTTTTCTATARGTTTGGGTTGCATCTTAATGAGGTGAGAACCAAACAAAAACACATGAGAGCAAAACCATTAGCAGCTACATGCCACATGGTACTGTACAGTAAACTGTTAGAAGGTTGAAATGTTGCACTGCTGGACGAGTGTGGGCACAGGGCATGCTTCACGAAATGTATTGTACTTTGTTATATGAAACTGATTTGAATAATTCTTAATAATTTAGCATGAAAAGTCACGAAAAAGCACAAGAGAGAGAGAGAAAATAAAAACAAATGTTCCTTCCTGTACAGTATTTATCAACTTTCCGGATTTTACAAAATTATGGGGATWACAGCAAACTACTAGTAGTTAGGTTCCATAAAAACATCTGTGAAAGACTGAGTTTGCAAACTGTGACAACACTGTCTACTGGTTTTTGAAAAAAAAGTTCAAATTTATTTTATGTCTCAGAGCTGGCCTGTAAAAAAATATTGTTTGACCCCTCGTTCTCCTCCCACAAGGCTGTAGTTGTCATTATCCACCTCATGTAACGTATGAGAGTACTACAGATTTTTAATGAAATTTATGGATTTCCGAAGTTAGTTATACAAAATTCTGAACTTATTTCAGAGAATTTATGCCACCAAATTTCTCTCAAATTAGTTGCAGAGTGGTCAAGAGCATCTTGAACCGATCTCAATTTAGTTTTTGTAAATCTAGAGCACTAGAGCTGTGCTTTGACATCTGCACAGGAGGTTTCCTGTGGCAGAATACAACTGAGACTACACCTCTGAATCCCCAGCTCTAAAATCGACATTAATGATAAATAATAGTTATTTAGAGAATGGTTCAAATCAGCCTACATGGAGGCACCAATACTACTATTGGGTATTGGTTTGATACTTTCAGCCGTAGACAAACGAGGGGCCAAGAAGTACACACAAATCACTCATCCAAACAGTTTATTTTGATAAATGGTTCTAATAATACATGTGTACCTCATAAAGATGATTCAGTATCCCATTAGTAAGAACTGAATTACATATAGGTGGGCTCTGCTGCTGTGCTGACTCATATGAGCTTCTGTTTTTGGTCTTTCTGGAATCTATACATACAATCACTGTTGTACAGGGCAATGCATTTTATTTGAGTTTGAGTATTAAAAAAGGCAGCTCAAGTAGAATATTTTTCACATCGAAACTGTACTGTCATGTTAAATATGCATTTAAAATTTGCTTACTTTGAAGAGGCGCCGGATGACTCCATCCAAAACGTCCCACCTGGTCTTCCCACTTACGCCTATAGATCCAATCAAGAAATCCTGGCTTCTTGTACCCTGAAAAAGGTGTCGGACTTGTTAAAGAGACACGAGTGAAATCTYCTGCCGTAGTTTTCACATGAAGAACTTTCCTTCACTAACCTTGATGATGTTTGGTCCACGGCTGATGCTGACCACTATTCGCACGCTCCGGCTTTCTTTACGCAGATTTCCTTCGTAGCTGTCATCCAGCAGGATATCTAAAAGCCAAATATGCTTTTAGAAAATAATCAACTTATTTACTGATAAAAAACTCTCAGTGGGAATGGCAGATACCTACGGACATTGACCTAAACAGTCTGAAGCTATATAAGCATTTGCGACAGGGATAAGTAAGGACAAGGAGCAGAGAACTCAAAGTACTTTTGCCGTTTTCCTTTTCRCCAAAACTTAAAGGTTTCTCATGACGGACACTGAACTCACCAGACATGATAGTGTCAGTGATGTTGAGATTATTGAGGGATAGCCCGAGTGATTGGCGTGAGGAGGTTGAGGAAGTACTGGAGGTCTCAGACGGGGGCCGGGCTGTCTTTATGGGAGTGGCTGTAGGGGTGGCGTTACCACTGGACTTCAGGCGATCGTTTTCTGCTTTCAGCGTCTCAATCTCATTCTGCGTATTGATGAGAAAAATGAAAATAAACTAGAGAAATTGCATTTCCTGTGAAAATGCAAGTGTGGATGCCAGTAGCTGAAAATGTAAGCTGAAAGCTGCTGAAGTAGCTGAAACTGAGCTGAACATGTTTAGCAAAAGTATTATTGTAAGTTAAATTTGAAAAGCTGAAAAAAGTAAAAACTGCTGAAAAACAGTAAAAAGGAGCAAAAATATAGCTGAAATAGCATAAAAGGCTAAAGGCTAAAATAGCTGAACATAATAGTAGAAGGAAGAAGAATTTTAGCTGAAATATCTGAAAAAAGTAAAACTAGCATAAAAGTAGCTAAAATTAGCATATTATAAGCTAAAGTTTGTAGACACTAGTATTAATTGACAACCAGATGTTGAAAGTGTTGCAAAAAATGAAACTTGGCAGAAAAAAATGCATGAAACTATTTAAAAGTGATCATTTCTAGCAAATATGCTAAAACAGCCAAAGATTTTAGCACAACAGCTAAAAAGCTTCAAGTGTTTTTGTTTGCATAAGGAAGCATAAGGAGCACAATTTTGCTGAATTTAGCAGAAAAAAGTTATAAAAGCTGCAAAAAATATGTATTTAGCTTAAAATGCTAACTTTAGCTAATAATGGCCAACAATTAGCTAAAATAGCAGCAAGTAGCTGAATATAGCAGAAAGCATCTGTAAGAAGCACAATTAGCACAAAGTAGCYGAAAAAACAGAAATAAGCAGAAGAAAAACAGAAATACGTAGAATTTTAGCTTATATACCTAAAAACAGCTAAAATTAGCAAAAGGTAGCTAAAATTTGCACAACGAAGTAAAATAGAGTATAGCCAGAACAATTTGTGTAATATTTTGTAAAGATTTAAAATAATTTTGAAGGATTTTAAATATTTTGATATTAGCCCCATTCATTTTTAATGGGGAAAAAAGCAGCCAAATTAGCTTTGGCTACTATTTTTGATTTGAATTTTAGCTTCTGTAGGTGAAAGAGCTTGCTCTCAGTTACCACTACTTCATTTTTTATGTCAATATATCAAATGCTGGCTGAGTTAAAGCCCATTAAAATTACCATTGGCGGTCATCTTGGATTTTTTTTCGGCTGCTATTTTTGATAGAGCTAAGTGTCAGCAGCTAAAAAACTAATTTTTAACTCGTTATATCAAAAATTGGCTGAAGTAAAGTCAATTGAATTTAGCTGTGGTGGCCATCTTGGAAAAACAATTTTGGCTACTATTTGTGATTGGGCTATGTCTTAGTTACAACTATATACTAAAATTAGCAAAAGGGAGCTAAAAGTGTGGCTGAAATATCTTTAATTAGCTTACAGAAGCAGAATCAGCACAAGCTTGCTGAACTTAGCAAAAGAAATTTGTACTACCTACAAAGAAATAGGTATTTAGCTTAAAATGCTAACATTACCTAATACCAGCTGAGCATTAGCTAAAATTGCAGCAAAAGCTTAATATAGCAGAAAGCATKTTTAAGAAGTGTAAAAAGCACAAAGTAGCAGAAAAGTACAAAAATAGAAAAAGGCAAAAGAATAGCAGAAAGTAGCAGAATTTTTGCTAAAATTAGCATAAAAGTAGCTAAAATTAGCATATTTAGCCAAAAATTAGCTAAAATGACAGCAAGTAGCTGAATATAGCAGAAAGCAAATGTAAGAAGCAAAATTAGCACAAAGCAGCAGAAAAAGGCAGAAGAATAGCAAAATGAAGTAGAATTTTGGCAGAAAGGGCAGAAAACAGCTAAAATTAGCATAAAAGTAGCTAAAATTAGCATAATTATAAGCTAAATGTTGTAGACACTAGTATTAATTGGCAACCAGATGTTGAAAAAGTTGTAAAAAATGAAACTTGGAAGAAAAAAAACTGCATAAAACTATTTAAAAGGGATTACTTCTGGCAAATATGCTAAAACAGCTGAAGTTTTTAGCATAACAGCTAAAAAGTTGCTACAACTGTTTTGGTTAGCATAAGGAAGCATAATGAGCACAAATTTGCTGAATTTAGCAGAAAAAAGTGGTTAAAGCTACAAAAAATATGCATTTAGCTTAAAATGCTAACTTTAGCTAATAACAGCCAAAAATGAGATAAAATGGCAGCAAGTAGCTGAATATAGCAGAAAGCATCTGTAAGAAGCATAATTAGCACAAAGTAGCAGAAAAAGCAAAAGAATGGCAAAAAGAAGCAGAATTTTAGCAGAAAGGGCAGAAAACAGCTAAAATTAGCATAAAAGTAGTTAAAATTAGCACAACGTAGCTAAAATGTGCATAAGGTAGTAAAATAGAGCACAACCAGAACAATTTGTGTAAGGTTTTGTAAAGATTCAAAAACAATTTGAAGGGTTTTAAGGTTGTTGAAAATAGCCCCATTCATTTTCAATGGCAAAAAAGTAGCCGAAAAAGTGAAATAGCTAAAAAAGTAAAAGTAGCTGAAATACCAAAAGTCATAGCAGACCATTCCTGAATGAGCTGAACGTTTTGATGTATACAGTAAATTGTGGAAATTGCACAAAAACTGCAGAACGAGAAAGCGGACAAAATGTACGGAAGAAACTATAATAATATTGAAAGAATAAAGAGAAACATGAAAACAATAGTGTGAATGCCTGAATGCCTTGACGGCATTTACATAACTAGTCTAACTAGAGAAAATGCATTTTGTGTGGAAATGTGGCGTGAATACTGAGTGCTGAATGGCTTTGCTGAAGAAGCTGAAACTGAGATATTAAAGCTAAAAAAGCAGAAGGCTTGCTAAAAGACAAAAGTCATAAAAGACTAGCTAAAACCTAGACATAGCAGATAAGTAGCTAAATTCTAAAAGCAGCAGAAGGGTGCCTAAAAGCTACAAGAACAAATATGTTAGCTATAAGCTTAGCCCGGCAGAATGGTCATCTTTTGATCTTAAACTCAAATGTCTTCAGTGTTAGCAAATTGTGAAAATTTATCACAATTAGCAAATTGTGATAAAGTTAATTATTTTCTGTAATGTATTAAAAACACTTTTCTTTTATTGGTCGAATGAAATATGCTAATTTTTTGAGATAGGGATTTTTGGTTTTTCTTAACTTTTTTGTCAAAATCATCAATTTTAAAACAATAAAAGGCTTGAACTACTTCAGTTGGTGTGCAATGAATCTAAAATATATGAAAGTTTAATGATTATCTGTACTTTGCAGAAAATAATGAACTTTATCACAATATGCTAATTTTTTGAGAAGGACCTGTACAACAAAAATAATTTGAGTTTGACTTGCTGTTCCAATACCTTTTTCCATAATACATAATTTTACCCATTTTCTCACAGCTCAACTGACATATATTTTCAGCTTGGCTCGGTCATAGTGAAACAGGAAGTGATGACAAATGGGAGCTCTTTAAAAAAACACAAGATCTCTGGCTTTTATTTATTAAAAACATTATTTGAGCTCTGACTCTACTTCGTCTCACTGATAGTGACTCAAAATAATCTAAACAATAGCCTAAATAAAAGATCTAAAGGCTTCATCAACTTTTTCCCTGCTCTCTGTGCTGTTTACATGCAGGCGTTCATCTTTGATGTCACTTCCTGTTACTGGGGAGGAGAATATCTCAACAACTGTTCATCTCAGCAGCATGAATTATTTTTTGCTAATACGTTCATGATAATTCCTTTCAAAAAGTGCATTCATAATTATTGTGAGAATTTTACATCACAGGCACTTTAAAGGAACTGCAGAGACCATAATGTAATTCTGTGGGGAACAGATTTGTAAATATTTTGAAATCCGTTAAATCAACACTCACAGCATGAAGCAGCACGATGAGTATCAGGCTGCTTCCATCTTTTTCCTGCACTCAGGCTGCTGTTATTCTGAAGCAGTATCATTGGATTTATGGGCTTTAAAAAGCTTTTTGATCTTCAAGGTTCCCTTTGTACAGAAGTAAGCCTCAAGATAAAGAGTTTTACATGATCCCTATATCAGAGGGGTGACTATAGGCTTCTACAAACAAGATAATCCAGATCCACAAAGATCCACTTAAGTGAGACATTCATGGTGATTCCAGATATTCTTCATGACATTTTTACACATGATTTGCGTTTTTAAATGCAAACTCACAGCATCATCAAATAATGTTTTGATTGTCTCAAATTGCCTGACACCTGGGTTCAGACGGACAGCTGAACCTCACCTGCATGCGATTCATGGCCTCTCGGATCTGGTCCAGGTGGTGGGCAGAGCTAAGTGCCTCCAGACGAATGTCCGTCAGCTTGAGCTCCTTCTCCCTCAGCTCATTCTTCAGCTGGAGGATGATCTCAGCCTCGGCCTCGGTGCATTCACACAGCCTGTAACCGGGATTACACATACGGAGGAGGAGGGGTCACTTCAGGGGTTAAACCAAACACACACAGACACACACACAGTGCACAGAATCGAGACGGATACACACTTAAGGAAACATGAAAGCTTAAGCCAGTGTTGAACATTGTGGATGAGGTGAGGAGGATAGTGAATAATGAAGGATTTAATAAAGCGAATGACTTCCAACTTTAAAAACAGACTCAAGTTACATTTCCCACACTGGACAGTTCGTAGGCTGGCTACTAAGATTTTGTTCTCTTAAACTACAACCTCAATTCTCCCCAAAATTTGTGTTCTGTAAAATTTAAATGACAGGAATCAACAATAGACTAAAATGTAGGCATACAGCATACAGGTTGAGTTCGACGGAGTGGTCTGGATTGAAGAGGTATTACTCTGAGGTTTTGGACAAACTGAACAATAAAACCACAACGGCCATAAACACCTGCTGACGATCCCCCCACAGAGTGAGGGAGACACTACCATAGAGACACACCTAGACTTGAGCAGAACTGAACAGACATGAAGCATTTAGATTGAGACTTGACAGTGGAGAAGGGCCCTTTACTCTGCAATACCTATGTTATAATAATGCACTACAGTAAAAATATATTACCTATAGTACCTTTATTTCTCGGTACCCATGTTCCTGGTAGCTATGTTCCCATTACTTATGTTTCCCAGTACCTTTCTTTCTCTGTACCTATGTTCTTAAGTACCAATGTTCCCCAGTACTATATTGCCCATCCAATTGGCTGTATACAGTACCAGTGCTCAAAGCAAGGTCATTAAAGATATGGATGGCAGAGTCTGGTGTGGATGAACTTGACTGGCTTGCACAGAGTCCTGACCTCAACCAGATAGAACAACTTTGAGATGAATTAGAGCAGAGACTGAGAGCCAGGCCTTCTCATCCAACATCAGTATGTGACCTCACAAATGAGCTTCTGGAAGAATGGTCAAAAATCCCCATAAACACACTCCTAAACCTTGTGGACAGCCTTCCAGAAGAGTTGAAGCTGTTCTAGCTGCAAAGGTTGGACCAACATCATGTTGAACCCTATAGATTAGGAATGGGATGTCACTTAAGCTCATATGTGAGTAAAGACAGGTGAGACAATACTTTTGGAAATATAGTGTATGTTCCCTAGTATCTTTGTTTGTATCTATGTTCTCCGGTACTTGTGTTCCCCAGTACCTATGTTCTCAATACTTATGTTCCCCAGTACCTTTGTTTCTCGGTACCTTTGTTCCCCAGTACCTATGTTCCCAGTACCTATGTTCCCTGGTACCTATGTTCCCAATACATATGTTCCCCAGTACCTTTGTTTCTCTGTACCTATGTTTTCCAAGACCTATGTTTCCCTGGTAGCTTAGTTCCCCAGTGCCTATGTTCCCTGGTACCTTTGTTCCCTAGTAACTATGTTTCCCAGTACCCTTGTTACCCGGTACCTATACTCCCTGCTACCCATATTTCACAGTCAGTTTTTTGTTCCCCAGTACCCATCTTTCTCAGTACCTTTGTTTCTCGGTACCTATGTTCTCCCAGGGTTACTGATTAAAGTCGTAAGCAGTGACGGCTGGTATCAGTGGGCTAGTAGGGCTAAGCCCTCCCTGATGTTCACAATAAAAATGTTAAAATAAACATTATTATAAAATTATAATATAATTATATACAATGTATAAATAACAACTTAAAAATAAACACAATTTTAAAATAATATATCTTATTTTGTGAAATTTACAAGGAAAACTGGTGCCAAACCACCTGGGAAGATCCCAGGGCCGTTCTGCAGCGCTAACTATTCACAGCCCATTTTCATGTAATGTGTCCTGGTTCAGAATGATTGACAGGCGTCTCGCCACYCCCCCCTCGGTTTGCGGCTCATTGGGGCTAATTCTGTTCAGCCCAGGATCAGCACAAGCCACAGGATTCAGCCATTTAGGGTGGACTTACAAAAACGTGCCTCCAGTGCCATTGTATGTGGGCGTGGTTTGGTGTAGACTGATGGATATGATGCGAACAGCATTAACATGTCAAGAAATTGAGGCGCTAAACAACTTAGCTAAGTTTCTTAAAARAAAAAAGTGTTTTAGACCAGAACACACCAGGAGAAGCTTAAAGTAAAAGAGCTTGGACCCAATCTGCTGGACAAGAAAAGCAGCAGAAGAAAGACAGAGGGGAGAGTTTACACTCCATTATTTTCRAAGAACTGGATTAGCGACAGGCTAAGCTAACTGCTTTTAGTGAGGCTAATGGTTTGTTTTGATACATTATTGCCTCGTTTTTAAAGCATCAGGATCTGACCCAGCATGGATTTAAACAGGTAAGAAAAAAGATAAAATACTTCTGTAATGCTTTTAATCATTGTAGTGCTATAATATAGTTGTGCTTTTAATCATAGTATAATATAGTTATATTGTTTTATAATTGTTAACACAGCTTTAAATATAATATAATATAACATAATATAT